TCACAAAGACGGTGGTCACACCCTGCCCCTCCCGGGGCACCAGTCAGGCCCTGGCCCCCTTGCTGCCCACAAGACACCCCACCCGGGCCAGAAGTAGGGGGTGCAGGGGCCAGTGTTGTGGTGGGGTCCTTCCCCACAAACTGCATAGGGCCCTCTAGTGGGTGGTGGCGATGGGGTGGCAGGAGCAGGTAGTAGGTCCCACAAGGAGCCTGCAGCAGCATTCTTGGGAGCAGACCCACTCTCACATGGGCACTTCCTGGCCAGTATTGCTTGCCATGCAGGACCCCTGCAGTTCCTTTCTTCTTTGTCCCTGCCAGCCCAGCTTTTTGCGGGGTGGTTAGGAGAGACCCGCCCACTCCATCAGGGCATTCACTGCTGGGGATGGTTTAGAACATGGAGGTTATCTACATTGGGTTTAAATGCATCTTTATTTTGGAAGTTCTCCCCTCTGTGCACAGGTGGGCACCTTCTCCTGGGCTGGCTAGTGCCTTCACCCACCAACACCTCTGCTCTGCCCCAGGCCCCACCTCCAAGGGTTACATCTAAATCAAGGAATCGATGCCAAGGTGCCCTCAGCTCAGCTCACCCTCCTGTTTTACATCTCCATTTGTTAAGAATGTGGGCAGGCAGATGCTCGGACACCCCACATAAACAAACTGCTGGCCACATTTGTATGTTAGCGTTTATTGTTCTAGCTTATTAAATGATATATAGAAAAAAGTGTAAATCAGGGACAATTTTGAAATTCCACTTGGGTTGTTTAGTTCTGTGGAGTGCAAGCCAGTAGTGATCCTCCAGCCACATCTGTCCCCTGATGACCACTGCCCCAGGGCAGTCCCTGTGACTCCCACCCACTCTCAGGAACAGGGGAGCAGATCCCACCTGGCCTCCTCACGGCAGAGCTACAGGGGGGCAGTGGCCTAGCCTGAGGACCTGGGCCTCACGTAGGCAGGAGAATGACCTCCATGGTGGTGCTCGTCTGGGCATGGCCTAGCTGGCCCTGGCTTTGTCCTTTGGAGCTGCCCAGGAAAAGGGCTGCAGAGAGGTCACCCAGGGCTGGAGATAGCTGCTTTCTTGGCACCTTCCAGCTTCCTGAGTCTTATCTGCATTCCTCTTCTCCAGCTGAAAATAATGACCTCCCAATCATGATTCCTGGCAACCAGGGCCACTGGGATCAAGAGTAAGATGCCTGAGAAGGTCCTCACATCCCCCTGGCCAGGCTGCCCATCCCACCAAGTCCCTGGTTTACTGGTCCATTGGTGATAATGGCCTCCAGGCCTTTCCTCAGCCTCCCTGGGGTGGGGGCAGCAGTTAACACTCAGCTCAGTGGACAGCGAACTTCAGTGCCTTCCTGAGCACAGCTTCTCTTCTTGTGCAGAGAGAGAAAAAACACTTTGACTGCAAAAAACGCTGGTACCCAACTCACCGGGGATTAACAGGTGCCATGTCAGCGGGAGGATCCTGTGTCCTCAGAGGGTAGCCAGAGGGCACACAAGCCAACTTGTGGCCATGGTTTTAACAGAAACCAATATTATTCTTACCCAAACTGTCCCTGCAGCCTGGCAGCAGGCAGTGATAGACATGCTGGAGAGGTACACCCTGGCCAGAGCTTGATGAGCAGGGATCAGTCAGGCAGTGAGAGGCCTGGGGCACAGGGACTGCCCACACTCAAATGGGGTCTATCCTGCAGGAGCCAGGCAAATGTGGAGAGACCCAGCTTCAACTGTCACTGCCGCAGGGTGGTGAGTGGCTACGCAGTCAGATCCATTTTTCCAAAGCCCCACAATCAGCTCCCTCCCTGAGAACACTGGTGGTCAGTGGTCAGGCAGAGCTCCAACTGGACCTGAGGATCCCAGGGACACCCTCCAGGGCTGGGGAGGAGGTGGAGTCTCTGGAATGCTGGGTGTATGGAAGACCGGGTGGAGAATTGGAGTGTGGGAAAAGCAATGGCAACTATGTGAAGTGGCCAGTTCTAGGGGTGGGACAGAGTTCTGGCCTGCTCTGGGGAAGGATGCTTGGTGGGCTGGACCCTTGAGAGGTGTCATCTCAGAAGGGGAAAGCGCAAAGTGAGGAAGAGCCACAGCACACTTGGTGTGCCCTTTCCACAGGGAAGGGCACACCAAGGAAGCTGGACGAGAGAGGCCTGGAATGTGGAGAAGCCTCTGCCCAGGCTGTCCCTCTGCCATCTTCACAGGGGTCTGGAAACTGGCATTAAGCTGACGGATCCCACAGGACAAAACAGCCCACATTCACCTACTTCAAAGTTAAGTCTGCCCTCAGGAAGGGAAAGAGTGTGTTAGAGAGTCGTGGCCACAGGACAGTGGGGTCTGTGCAGCCGGACGTCTACTCTGGTCACTGGGCCATCTGCACCACAACGGCTCTCCAGGCTTTCTCCTTGTCAAACTCCTTCAGGGGGCTTCTGGCCACCTGTGAGGGAGACAGGACCTGGGTTAGCTCACCAGAGCCTCGCCTGCTGCAGAAGGCAGAGCAGCAGCTCCCATGCACCAGCAAGCTGGACAGGAGGTTGAGAGAGGCCTCCACTGTCCTTCTGTCCTCAAAATGACAGGCCCCTCACTCAGGGTTGGTCTCTGAGTCTCTGCACATATGGAGCCTGGGGTGGGGCATGCTCCAGGGGTGGCTGGGCACATTCCTGGCAGCTGAGGAACAGGTCACCTGAGGCAGAGGTGACTGCATGCTGCCAGGCAGCAGGGAGGACAGCAGCCAGCCTCATGGTGTACCCAAGCACTAGCACAGGCAGTTCTGGACTTTGGAAGCACGAGGTGTCCACCTAGCACTGCCCCATTCTGGACTTGACCCAGAACCAAGAGGGTCTGCACTAGGCCAGGAACAATGCTGGGACAGACAGGAGACCTCTCTGGAGCAGAGAGGACCAGGTACAGGGGCCCTGTGGCTGCTGCTCCCAAGGGGCCATGAGCAGCTCTGCCCAGGGACACACTGCCTGGAGGGGCAGCCCACAGAGAGCTGCTGAGCCCCTGCTGTCAGATTTACTTCTTCAAGATTTTTTTCTGGGTTAATTTTAAAATACAAAAAAGCATGAAAGGTTTTGAAGGACATTAGTGCAGGGGATGGTCACCTCCCCTGGGTTCTCAGAGGCCCCCAAGACAGGGAGTCTGTGAGAACAGGCCACTCACCTCCCCCTCTGGGCGCTCGTGGTGGCCAGCCTGGGTGTCCCAGGATGTGCACTGCAGCTTCGTGCTGACCTTGAAGCTCACACACTGGATGGCGGTGCCAGTGTTGAGGCCGCCCTGCAACAGCAGCACCAGCAGCAGCAGCAGCAACAGCAGGTCATAGGACTGGGAGGCAGATCGAGCTGTGAGCGACCAAGCAGCAGACATGCCCACGGGCTTCCCCAGCACCCAGCACCTGCCAGCTCCATCAGCCACTACCGTCCCCTGCACGTTCTGCTGGTGCTGTTAACAGGCCTAAGAGTGCCCTAGAGGCCACCAGGCCCTGTGGACAGCATGGCTACTGCTCCTCTCCCCACCTCAAGGACAGATAAGGAGCCTACAAGACCACTGTGCTTCACACTCAGAGGAGAGCTGGCAGAAGGGACCACAACCTTCCAATGAGGGAAGGAGAGAGAGGGTGGGGGTCCTGGGCAGTGGGACTCTGACCCACCAGCAGAGTGGCCCAGCTGCTGGAGACGCAGGACCGAGTGCCGTGAGGAGGGGAAGGAAGTGGGAAGGGCTTCCGAGAGGAGGACAGGCCCAGAGTCTTCCTGGTGGCCAGAGAGCCCAGGCCAGACACAGCACCTAGGTGCAGCAGGGGAAAGCCTCCGTAAAGCACCCAGCACCTTCTGCTCCACACAGGGACGTCCCTCCAGGTGGCCCATGAAATACAAAGCACAGGAAGGAGTACAGCTGCCACTGAAGGGGAGGAAGTGGGAGGGAAACAGGGCACAATTCCCAGAGGACCGCAGTGCTGGCCTTCTGCAGCCAGGCCCTGGATCTGAAATGCGTGTAGAAAAGCAGGCGTACCCCAAGAGAAGGCATCCAGCCCTGCCTGGCAGAGGAGGAGGCAGGTGCCCACTCTACCATGGGCCCAGGGTCCTGGCACAGGCGAAGACGGTCATGGCAGAGAATGGGAAGAGAACAAACAGACCTCCTGGGTAGGAGCACTGCAGATGAAGGGGCTGAGGAAAAGATGGGTTTTTAATTTTTTAATAAATGAAGGGTCTCGTGACACAGGTCTAGCTGGGTTCCCGGCGTGTTCTTACGAAACCTGGCTGAAGACGCAACTCAGATGTCCAGATGCGACTCAGGACATGTCGAAGAACTCCCCCATGCAGGGCCAGGAGCAGAGGGGAAACCACTGCCAGGCCCTGAACCTGCTCCACACCTGGAGGGCGCCTCCCCAACAGCAGTGCTCCAAAGCCCCCTAGAAAGTGGGCTGGAGATGGGAGCAGAGCTTGCCGGGCTCAGTGAGGCCACACACACTTCACCTGCATGGCCAAACAGCCCCCCTGCCTGAGGAGGAGGTGACCAGCCCACAGCATGGATGCACCTCCCCTGCAGGCCCTCTCCCAGCCAGCACTCCGATAAAGTGCTCCGATAAAGTGCTGTGCAAATGGCTGGCAGCGGCCGGGTTCCCATCCCTAGGACTGGTGGGATAAGGCTGGTTACAGCTGCACGGGGTAGTAAAGGAGGACAGAAGAACACTGACTCCTGGGTGTTCAGGAACCACTAGAATAAATTAAGTTAAAAAGAAAAAAAGTTGGGTATGGTGGCCACACCTGTAATCCCAGCAACTGAGGCAGGAAGATTGCAAGTTTGAGGCCAGCCTCAGCAACTTAGTGAGGCCCTGTCTCTAAATAAAAATAAAAACAAAAGGGCCTGGGAATGTAGCTCAGGTGTTGAGCACCTCTGGGTTCAATACCCAGAAACAAACAAACAAAAAAAGGGCCAAGATCCAGAGTGATGGTTTTCGAGTCAACCTGTCCAGCATGGAAGGGAAGACTGTGGTGATGTGGCCACCTCCTGGACAGCAAGCCAGCAGGGCTGGCACCAGCCCCCCAGCAGGTCTTTACACAGCTTTGACTCTCGAACCATACAAATGTTTTAAACATTTACAAAATATCATTAAAAAGGAAAAAGGAGGGGCTGGTGTTGAAAGCTCAGTGGTAGAGCACTTGCCTTGCATGTGTGAGGCACTGGGTTTGATCCTCAGCACCACATATAAATAAATAAAGGTATTGTGTCCATCTACAGCTAAAAAAATAAGAAAAAAAGGAACCAAACCCTAAAGCTGAACACATTCAGAAACCATACACTGTGCATGGCACACCCCTTGGAGAGCCACACAGCAGGTGCCCGCCCTCCTTGGTGGGATGGACCTTAAGACTGCCAGTAGGGATGCCAGCCCCTGCGGGGGCAAGCAGCTGTGTGTGCCTGAGAAGACAAAATCTGGAGCCAGTGCACGGCAGCATGGAGCCGCGGAACTGGAGCAAAGAGGAGCAGACCCAGGACTTGCCGAGTCTGACTGAAGACGGCATGCGAACCCCACTGCTGAATAAGTCTGTCCAGCTCTGTCCGCCGAAGGTTCAGGAGCTGTGGTCCTCAGGAAGGTGTCAGTGCTCGCAGCCCCATCTAAGCTGTGCACACTATCCCCACCCGGCCCTCGCGCATGTCTGGACAGAGACAGAAAGGGCAGGCCTTCTGGTGTCTACCAGAAGCACAGTGCTGGCCACATTTGGGTCAAGTTGAGTATTGAGAGAGGGACAGCTGTGACCCTCTAAAGCCTGGAAAACTTGGCGGGTCCTTGGCAGTGCTCAGCAGAGGAGGGTGGCAGCCCACCACACAGAGTGCCAGCACAGGAGCAGAGGAGGGGTCTGGGACCCCAGGCTTACCCTTTATTCACTTCCTGAGGTAAAAATGCCACCCTAGTGCCCTCACTAGACCAGGGGAAGACAGCAGGGACTGGGACCTGTGTGTGGCCAGAGCCTGGCCAGAGCCCAGCTCCACAAGCACCCTGCACCACATATAAATAAATAAAGGTACTGTGTCCATGCGCCCCATGCATCCAGGTGCACGGAGGGCCCTCCCAGTCAGGGAGGAAAGGAAGAGGGCCCCTGTGCTAAGGAGCTGGAGACCAGGCATCCACTCTGGGGCTAAAAATCACATGAGGACAGACACCAAACAACACTATGTCGGAATTTTGATGGTCACAGGTGTGATGATGAGACTGTGATGTGTGGGGGCAGCTGTCACTTTTAGAAATGCTGACCTAAGGCCAGCCAGCGTGAAGGGTCAGTTGTCCACGCCAGACTGCACTTTCAGATCCTCCCATCAGTAGGAGCAGCACATGCGGAAGGCAAGCTGCTATGGCACCTGTGTCCACTGCATGGTCTTTTCAGCCTGTGCTGAGGTTTCTGGGAGTGAACTTGGGGGACACCACTTATGCTGGTCACAAAAGACGCAAAGTATCTAAGAGCCGTGAGGAGGCGTCTGGAAGGCCACGCAGAGCTCCACCTGGAGACAGTCAGACTCTAGCTTTTCTCTGACTGACCTGCGCCCTCAGTGCAATTCCGAGCTAGACCCAGTGACAGCTGGTTCTACCGTGGCACGATGCTCAAGAGCAAGAAACCCACTGCCACTGTGGAGGAGGGCGGGGGCCTGTGCAGGCTGTGCTAGGGCGGGCAACGTCCCACAGCTAGAGAAGCAGAGGCAGCCTAGGTGGAGACCAGGGCAGAGCTGCCCGATGAGCAGCGGTAGCAGGGCAGTCAGGTGGGCAGCCATGCCACTGTCCAGCGGGAAAGGCACATTAGATCCACCTCACAGTGCACACACACTGGCTGCACCTGCGGCCGACTGAGGAGCCACTGTGGCCACGTGGTAGGTGCTTGTCTGCGCTGGCCACTGCCAGGACAGATCCAGTCTGCCCCAGAGTCCTCCTCAGACTCCCATGGACTACGAGTGGCAGTTTCTAGGAAGTTGCAGAAGAAAATGAAGGGATACGTACTTTGATGGCTGGTGGATAATCTTTGAAGATCTCCACGAGCCTCACCACGCTGAAGGACAAGTACCCAGACGCCGTGAACAGCAGTGGGGACGTCAGGCTGCTGATGGCCAGCAGCACCTCCACCTGGGGAGGCAGGCAAGGGCAGACGGGGCGGGCCGTGTCACTGCAGTCAGCAACGGCTGGGCTCCTCAGGCATCGGGCGCCCAGCGCAGGGCAGCCTCGGGGGCAGTGGGTATCACAGGTTGCCCATCCACACACCACTCCACTCACCAGTCCCTGCCTCTGAGATCTGTCCTGCTGACCTCCCCATCTTCCCAATTCCTAGGGTACTGCAGGTCAGACTGGGGAGGGGCTTTGAAGCCAGAAACAGATGCTCCCCACACAGAGCCTCAAGCATGGGCAGCACAGGGCCGAGGACAGCCCACTGAGAAAGGACTGGTTCCTCCCCTCCTTGCTCAGCCTCAGGAGTCTCTCTGTCCACATCCGAAGTGCTCACTTCCCTGCTATCCACAAGCAGGGCAGCCCTGAGCCCTCTGCTGCGGGTGCGTCCAGCTGCAGCCCTCCCCCTGCCTCAAGAGCTGCTCCTCCCTGGCCCCTCCCCAGCCCTGCAGCTGCCAGTGTGGGCCAGAGCCTTGTCTCTGGCCCGGGGGAGGGACGGGCAGACCTTCACCCACCAGGCACTTGCTGGGACACTCCGCCGTCACATGACTGGCAATGGCGCTTGGAAAACACTAGAAGAAAAAAAATAATAACAGATTTTTTTCTTAAATTTTGAGACAGGGTCTAAGTTGCTGAGGGCCTCCCTAAGCCGCCGAGGCTGGCTCTGAACTGGAATTACAGGATTACCACACTCAGCTGGGTTTTGTGAACAAAGAAAGATCTCAGAGCCTCTGCAGTGAGATGGAGTGTTGTGCTCTGCTCCGCCCCTTGAGCAGTTCCTGCTTCCAGCCAGGGCTGAGGAGGTGGGGCCCTTTGGGGCTGATGGCTGCCTGGGCTGTTCCCTGGGGGCCTGGAGGCAGGTGGTCTCTCACTGGCTTGGTGGGCTCCTTGTTCCTTGAGCATTCATTAAAGATTTTAAGCCCCTAGAAAATCTACAAGAATGGTGTGACTCCCCAGAGTCACCTTGCTGGTGCCTTCTGTGCCCTCAGCTGAGCACCTGGTCACTTGTGTCCACACACTGGGCGTGGTCCTCACACAGCAGGTGTGATGCAGTCCCGGCTTCCATCCTGCAGACCCTCTGCTTCCAGATCCAGGGTCCGGTCCCCATCACACTCTGCACCTGTCTCTGTCTGTGGGCCAACTCTTGGCTCTGGCACCCCTGAGGGCTGCACACCCCTGCTGCTCAGGTTCTCCCTGGTGAGCTAGTGACCCAGGCAGTTTCCCAGCTTCAAAGTTCCTATCCACACCTTGGGGCAGTGGTGTTGGCCAGTGACAACTGACTCCTCTCAAACAGGAATGACCCTTTGTCAGGGCTCTGAGGAGAAGGTAAGTAAACACAGAGAGAGTTGATGAGGGAGGTGAAGGAACTGCATGTGCAAAGTTCCCCGGGGTTGGACCAGATGTGACTGCAGAGGAGGGTTTGGCCTCAGCCAGGAGGCAGAAGCATCCACACATTTCCCAAAGGGCCTCTGGCTACAGCAGGACAAGTGCTGAGGAGGGAATAAAAGATGGGGCACAGCCAGTTAGAAAGCAGCTGGGGTGGCCACCCACCATGGGGAGAATGGGGAGGACCCAGCCTTCAGCCTAACTCCAGGCCCTGGACCCTGCCTCGTGTCCAGTGATCTATGCCCTTGACCTCTCTGGCCACCCCTGGCAGGGATGCAGGCAAGCCGAGCCAGGTAGCTTCCTACCCGAGAAGGTGTCCCACCTGAAGTGCCCCACCCTCTTCCTGGGGTCTCCTTACCCCACAGCTGCTTGTTCCCTGGAGGAGGAGGGAGGGCACTGTGGGTGCATTTAGGAATGGCCAGGGGACAAGGAAGAGCACCTTCCATTGTGAACTTGGTCTCTGCACTCAGGGGCTCAGGGTCTAACCCCCAATCAGCTCTGTTGCAGACACAGATATCAGACATGTCCCCTGCTCCTTCTGGGGGCTGTGTGCTCAGGCTGCACCCTGGAGAGTTCTCCTCCACTGGACCTGCCAGCTGAGTGGCTCACCCCACCCCCATTCCTGCACTGTTCTAGGAGCCCCTGGGCAGAGAGGTCTAGGGAGTCACGGGCCCCCAGGGGGAAGTGAGCTGCGGCCCCCGTGCGCCACCCAGCCACGTCAGACCCCACCGGGCCAGTCTCCCTACAGTGGGGGTCGACTGCAGCCAAGCCTGCGGGGCAGCCTCAGGAAGGACTGCTGATGCTCTGAGGACCTGTAGACAGGACACAGGTGCTTGCCATGTCCTGTTCTTTTCTATGAGATGGTAGGGCAAAACTGAAACGTCCGCAAGGCCAGGCACGCAGCTTGGACAAGCTGTGGCTGGTAGCAGGCCACACAGGTGGCAGGTGCAAAATGATGCCTGGGGCCCAGGTCTTCTGCACAAAGTACAGAGGAATAGCAGCTCTGGGTGTGAAGGGACACTATGGTGTGACGGTCCCCAGGGGGGGCAGGATGGCCGACTGGTACACACTGTGCAGGTTTGGGCTTAGCCCTGAACAGCGTGAGATCACATGGCAACTGAAAAGACCCGCACAGTGACCTGAGGACCAAGTTCAGAACAGAGGCCAGGCGTCCACACTTCCTTCGTGCCAGGTGTCCTGCTAAGCATCTGCTGTGTCAGCATTTAGTATGAATTACAGCAGAAGTATCACATTTTATAAAACATATGGTACAAGTTGCATGGGATAACACAAGTAATTGGCTGTCTTAGGAAACACAGGAGTGATATAAAATATTAGCAACGAATATAAAATCACACGCTGATTGTCCAGCCCTGTTTCCAAGTGTTCTGGGTCAGGGGCCAGCAGGACTCTCTCCAGGTACTTTCCTGTCAGAATGCCACAAGACAGAGCTCAAGACCAGCCACCTTGGTTCAAGAAAAGGAGCCCAGAGCTGTGGCCAAGACTGTGTGGCCAGAATAGCTGTGCATGGACAGGGTGGCCAGCCAGGAAGTACTCACAGCCACTAAGATCCAGAAGAATGTCACTGAGAGGTGTGGGCCTGAGACTGCTTCATCCACGTTCATAGCAATGACCCCACCGAGGACAGCAGAGACACCAGCGATGACCTCGACCACCTGGGAGGGGACAGTGGGACAGCATCACCTCATAGGGCCACCACTCTGAGGGTCTGCACCCACCATGAGGGAGAGAAGGCACTGTGTAGATTTCGGCTCCCAGGGTAGGCCAAGGGGTCAGTGGGCAGCCTGCTCTCAGGCTGAACAGGCTGAGCCCCTAGAAGCTGATGCAGGGGACCCAGCTGGCCTTGAGTGAAGCTCACGGAGGCCACGGGAAAGCTGGATATGGATGTGGCCAGCAGGAGTGCCAGAGGACACACCGTCACAGGGCTTGTGCTGGGGACAAGACTGGCCGGCCATCCTCCTTGCACTCAGACCCCACCAGACCCCACATGGACAAAGAAAACTTCAGAGCAGTCACAACACAGGACAGAAAGCTCCCCAAAGAGAGGACACCTGCAGAGGGCGGTGGCGATGGCCCACCACAAACCCACAGGGACACCGTTGGCCTGGAACTAACACTCTACTGGGCAAAACAGTCTCCATGAATGAGGTGACCTGCAAAAGTGGAAGCTGACCAAAACAGACACCCCTCCCAAGGTGTCTGAGGAAGATGCACTAAACAGGAGAAAAGTGGGGCAGGAGGAGGACAGAAGCTTGGCAGAGGTGGACACAGAGGCCTGGGAAGCCCAGGAGCAAGTCAGGAGCCAGACCGCGGAGGCAGGAAGGCACCTGGCGCCCTCCCCTCCCCAACCAGGCCAAGGGGAGAGATGCACACTGTCTACAGGAGGCAGACTGAACAGGAGGAGGTCTCCAGCTGAGCATGTGCAACTTCTAGTCCAAAGCCACCAGGAAGAGGACAGGAGAAGCCTCGGCTGACCCAAAAGAAGGCAGGGGAGGAGGTAAAGGCAGAGGAGAAAAATCCAGAAGTAGGGAGGAATAAAAAGGGTAAAATAGATAAAATTATGTTAGAAACCACTCTCAGAGGAAATGGGCTAAACTCAAAAGCCAGGCAGATTAGATAGAAAAACTAAAATAGAGCCTTGCACCTTTGTAAGAAACATACCCAAATATCACCAGAACAAGATAAGCTGGAAATAAGAAGGGTAAAGATGCCTTCGGCCGAGGCCAGCAGAGGACAGTGATGTGCTCATACAGTGGGAAGAGTCCGTGGCCGGCCCTATCCCACACAGAGAATGTCGCTACACAATGCTCAAGGAAGAGCTGCTTGTCTGTAACTGAGAACACGGGCTCCCAGATCCAGGCTGGAAAGCGACAGAATTACAAGGAGAAGTCAGTACCCACACTCTACTGGAGGTTTCTGTCTGAACTTCCCCAGGAGAACAAGCAATCATGAACAAACAGGAAATGGAAAGGGCCTCCAGAGCTGGAGGTTCCAGGGCACAGTGCAAGCCAGGCCCCTCCTTCTTCATCTGAGACCCCAGGAAGCTCAGGAACACCAACTTCTCTGAGCAAGGCGCTGCTGGCCCCAGGGATGGATGGCTGCAGTGGCTTCAGATGAGGGCAGGACTCACGTGCACGCCCTGGCCAAGTCCTGGACATCTTTAAACATGAGAACGAGGATCTGACCTAGCCTCACACACCCAACCAGTGAGAGGAAATTAAAAGGGAAGTTTTTCTTACCGAATAGGATTTCAGGACCCGAGCAGGAAATGGCACTTCCTCCAGAATGTTGCTGCTGTCGGAGATGGAGCCCTTCAAGGAAGCGAGGCTCATCAGCCACAGTGCATGGGCTTGGGGTTCAGCAGTGCTGACCATGGCACGAAGGGGCTACTGTCTGGTGTGGCCCAACAGACTTAAGGGGCATGCTGAATTGCCACCACTGTGGGTCCCAGGCACCATGGGCCCCAGGCACCACAGGCTCCAGGCACTGTGGGCAGACTTGGGGGCAGAGATGCCTTCCTAGGTAACAGCCAGGGGCACCACCCCACGCCCGCCTCCTTGTGGCCTGAGTTGCCTGTGGGGACCCTGGGGCAGCCAGGCCACCTCAGGGTCATGATGCCATTGTGGAGGCCACCCACCTTCTTCCTCTTGCAGGGCTCCTCACTGGACCGTGCAGAGATGATCACTGTGGCTGCCATGAGAAGCTCCAGCAGGAGGAGCAGAATGAGGTTGAAGTTTATCTGCAAGGGAAGCAGGAGCCTCAGCGGCCCTGTTAACCTCTCATGGTGGCACAGCAGGCCAGGCTGCGGGCCAGCGCCCAGCCCCGGATGGGCCATGCACCCCACACTGCCTCGGTCCCACGCGGGCCTTTGGGATTTTTGTTTATTTCCCCACTCTCATCAAGGGCTATGCAAGAACAGGCTGTGGATGGATCAGGTTGTTGGGTGGCATCTGCTGTTCCCTGAGCTAACCTTCTCACTTATACAACAGGCTGACACTCAGTTTACAGCGGCTCCCAGTGTGACTGCCCAAAACTGCAAACACAGGGGTCTGAAGGAAAACAGAACTATTCTGGGTCCTGACAGCACTGGCAGTTTCCAGAATCTGCACACTTGTTAATATTCTCAGAACCAAGCCAGTCAGACGCCCCTGGGAAAGGCAGATGCACTCTGAGAACTGAACCAACAGCCTATCCACCAATAAAAGATGGTATGTGCTTCCTCCTGTTTGCCAGCCCTCAAAAAGTATGCTGTGCATTCCTCCATTCTCCACTGGCTCACAGGATCGCTCAGCCTCAAAACCAGGGCATCATTAAAGCTGGAGGCCTGGCCTGCCCATCTCCAAGCAGGGACTGGACCAGAGCTAGCTCCACACCACTACTGGCATATCTGTGCTCCTCCCTCCCTCCCCTATGGCTGAGCCACGGAGTCTAGAGCCTTGCCTGGCAAGTGCAATGTTCTGGATTTGATCCCAGCCCCACAAATACATAAACACAATAACAAGACAATTTAACTAATAACTAAAAAATAAATTTATAAAAGAAAGAATGTGCTGGATACAGTGGTGTACAACTGTAATCCCAGCTACTCGGGAGGCTGAGGCAGGAGGATTCCAAGTACTAGGGCAGCCTCAGCAACTTAGCAAGACTCTGTCTCAAAATAAGATAAAAAGCATGGGGGTGTGGCTTAGTGGTAGAGCACCCCTGGCTTCAACCTCTACATACTGCAAAACATGAAATTAACAATAGCATCTCAAAATACACAAAGTAATTAATAACAGAACCACAGGAAGAAATAGGTGAACCAATGGTGATAGGTGAACAATTTGACATACTTTCCTCAGAAACTGACAGAGGAAAATGACAAAAGCATAAGATCTCTCACAATCACAAGAAAGTTGCTGCATTAACCATGTCTCCTTTGAAGCTCTTCCATCTGGGGCTGGGCTGCCCTGGACAGGCTGCCCCTCCTAGGGCTGGCTAATTCTGGGATTGGCCAACGACATCATGTTCAAAGCACCCAACCTGTGCCCTTCTATTTGCTTGCCCATGTGGGGCCACCACCCACCTGCCCAGTCACCCCCAAGGCAGCCAGGGACAGCTCTGTGTCTAGTACCTGCTGAAGGTATTCAGACTGGCTGATCCTAAGCCCCCTCTGTGCCACGCCTGCTCCTTCCTGGCTCCGCACCACCACTGGTAGATCCATGCTCCTCCCTCCTGCCCCTGTGGCTGAGCCACGAGTCACAGTGGGGATGCTTCCTCTGCCTGTACCAACCCTGATGCTCCCCTGAGTGGCCCTGCGTGCCCCTCCTCTGGGGTCTGTTAGACTGTTAGACTGTCTTTCAATGGCCGACATCTCCTGCTCTGCTGACCTCACCATATCTGAACAGTAAAAAGCCTGGATTTTAAAACAAATGCAACTAATAAGCTCATCTACAAAACTCTGCATGCCAAATAAGGCAGAATTTCCATTCTTTATAGTAGTTGTATAGTACTAACAGAACTGAGCATCTATTAGTCCATAAACAGGCCTGGTAAATTTCAAAGAACCAATGCACTCTAGATCATATATTCTGGTCATAATACAATAATGTCATGCAAAAATAGGCAGCTGATATTTAAAAATAGGGACTGGGATTGTGGCTCAGCTGTAGAGCATTCACCTAGCAGGTACATGGCCTGGGTTCGATCCTCAGCACCACATAAAAATAAATAAATAAAATAAAGATTAAAAAAAAAAAAAACAGACCCATGCATCTATTTTATTGGGTCCTAGATAGTTTATGTACTTTGTTGTTGACAAGAATGGAGTCATTTTTTTTTGTTTTTGTTTTTTAAGTTGGACACAATACCTTTATTTATTTATTTTATTTGGTGCTGAGGATTGAACCCAGGGCTTTGCATGTGCTAGGCTAGCCCTCTACCGCTGAGCTACAGCCCAACCCTGGAGTCTTGTTTTTTTTTTTTTTTGAGTTGTATTTTCAGATAGACTACTGCTAGTACAGAGAGACGCTTATTGAATTTTTAAAGAAAGTTTTATTTTGAAATATTTTGAACTAAAAAAATTGTAATAATACTACAGACTTCTTATATGTCCCTTTTAAATATTTTACATTTTTATTTATTTATTTTTTTAATTTTGAGAGAGGGTCTTGCTGAGTTGCCCATGTTATGGGCCAGGCTATATGGGCAATGACCAAACAGACTCCATTTTGCCCTGAAACTCCACGTCCTGTTAAGAAATGCTTCCCCCAGGGAAAGCCCCACCTCTGTACCCATCAACAGTTGCTTAGCATAGCATGTTTGGCAACACAACATGGCAATTCTTATACAATGTAAAATTGTTCTTTGATTCCCATTTTTCTTGGATAATGTACCCTGTCAGAGATTGACTGTCCAGATGTTAGAAACCATTCTTTAACTTGTACACAACTAGAGATGTTTTGGCCCACTCTCTTTTCTGCTTGATTTTAGATCTCATGACATTTGTTTATGGGTTTTGAATCATAGCAACAGTCATGTAGACTTGCAGCCTACCCCCTTGGACCACCAGCTGGTGGACCCGGACCTCCAACTGGTGAATAAAGTTTCCGTCTCCTGCTTTAAGATTGACACGGTGATTTATTGCAATCTTGTCTTAACACCCAGATGGCCTTGAACTTGTGATCCTCCCGTGTCAGCCCCCAAATTGCTGGGATTTTAGGTGTGGACTGTCACTCTCAGCAACTTACACTGGATTTTTATAAGTTGGTTTTGTGTTTCACAACTTTTCAGAATTCTTATTTTTCTTCCATCCTAGGAGTGAAACCCAGGGGCTCGTGCATGCTGGGTAAGTGCTCTGCCACTGAGCCACAACCCAGCCCTTCATCTTGTTCCACAGTTTAATTTGTATCTTCATGGCAACTATCATGCCAGTCTTTTCAGAGACCCAGCTTTTGGGTGTGCTGAGCTCTGTTCACTTGTTTGCTCCATGTTATTCTTTTCCTTCTATTCAGCACCCTTTCACCCACCATACTGTCCTGATGAGCTGGTTTCCTTCCAGCTCTGGAGTGGCCTGTGTTCCAGACTGTGACCTGGACTAGTCTGGAAGTTCAGGCAGGCTCTGCTACACTGCTCTGCTGGGGGCTCTCTGAGCATCCCCTGTCCCTTCAGCCACCTGCTGCCCCCCCACCCACACTGTGCAGACTGCGGGAACGATCCCCTCCCTAACTGTACACTCCCTTTTGACTGTCCCTTCTGCTTCTTGCCAGACCCTAAAAAACAGTCATGTGGGGCTATCTTTAAATAGCACTCACTTATTGATTTATAATATCATTACATTATGACTAGAATACATGACACTCAGAACTGCAGCTCTGAAGGCCACGTGAAAACAAGAAGTCCGTATCTCTGCTGTCCTCTGACTGGGAACAGTGTGAGTTGATGACCCCGGGCAGGAGAAGCTGCAGGATGCTCAGGCTGGTGGGGAGGACTTGCAGCAGGCAGCACTCTGAGCCTGACAGAGCACAGGCATGACCCACAGCCAGCAGCCTCACTCCTGTGGCCCAGGGCAGCCTGGCCTCGGGGGCTAGAATGCAGAGTGTGCAGGGGCAAGACGTTGACGTGCCACCAACAGGGGATATGGTGGTTTGGAACTCTGGGAAGAGTGACAGGCTGCAGAGACCTATGACAAGATGGGCAGGTGGAAGGATCAGGAATGGGTGCGCTGTGTCACCAGCTGCCAGCAGTGCACACCTCCGAGAGCCCAGAGGACCTGGTGACGGCTAACAGGACACTCATAGCACACAGAGCGTGGATCCAGCCTCCAGCCTGTCTGGCTCTTTCCCACTGTGTGGTGTTCTGCCCCATGGCTCATACCTGTGTCCTTGAGCACAAGCACAAGCACAAGCAGCTCCAGGGCTTCCTTCCTGGGTCCCCACTGCTCAGTCCTGTCATAGCTCTGTGGTCAGAGCTCGGGTGGTGCTGGGATTCTGCAGGTACAAGGCCCAGGAGATGCAGGGCTGCGGCTCCATGGCCACCAGGGGATGTGGTTCACCCCCCTTTCACCACGTGTTAATCCGTCTTGTCTCCCACTCTGTAGTTCACCTGCATGTACAGGCACTGTTCTAGGTTACAGACATCTGTTTAGACAAGGAGTTTTTGATGGTAAGTGTCACTGCTGTGACCTTCACATGTGTACTGCCTAGTCACAGGTGTGAAGCAGTTCTCCAGGGCTTGCACTGGGCATCAAATGTCTAGCAAATCCCTAACAGTTTTTCAAAGGGCCTGCACTGGGCATCAGAGTTTCCCTGGGTGTGCGCTGAGCATGTGGATGGCTCTCGCTGGCTGTAGTACGCCTCTTCTCCCTGCTGCGCGCCTCCTCAGTCAGCTGCCAGGCAAGCTGAGCCCAGCCCTCGAAGGCTGTGGCTTCCTCCTGGGGCACTGGTCTCCCTGGGGAACTGAAGGGGTGTTCCATGTGTACTGGGCAGCTTCTCCATCCATCACCGTCTCCCTCACAGCATGCTTCAGAGTCTCAGGTCTGGATCTCCATGGCAGGTGGGAGGTGGTCCACCCCAGGTGACCAGGCACTTGTTGCATTCCAGATCACAGACTGCCATCCATACATGTGAGGAGGCCCAGGCTGACCCAGTCAGGGCTGGTTCCCCTGCCTTTGCCAAGACCACCCTGGCAAGGACAGCTTTTTAATAAGCCTGGGGGTATGCCCCAATCTGTTCTTCAAGGGGCTTCCTTTTCCAGCCCGAGTTCCTGTGCAGAGCTGCAGGAATTCCATGCATTCTGGAAGATTCCAAGAGGTATCCCCCCCATGCCAACATGTATGAGTCTCCTACATGGCCTTGCCCTCCGATGGTTCAGGATGTCTTGAAGAAATAAGCCTGTATGCCTGAGTATCTGATAATAACAGAAAAGACTCTTCTAAAAGTCATGTTGTCCTGAGTTAATTTGTCTGACCAACAGAACTGTGATTGACAAATCCAGGTCCCAAAATGTGCACAGGTACCCAGAAGCCATGTAGAGCTCCCTTGTCTGCTTTGTCTACTACTGCCTTTGTCCAGGCCTCCGGCTACATACTGCGTTTCTTCATCTCCTAGGACCTTTCAGACTGCAACAGCCTCTTGGTTAAGATGATGTCAACGTGAGATGCCATCCGTCCCAGCAACTGAGACAAGTCTCTTCTGTCCCCATTGCACCACGCTGACAGAGACTTCAGATCCCTGGCTAGACAGGGCCATCACCCCTGTCATCTCAAAGCAGCCACAGAAGATACATCTTGACCTTTTAAGAATAAGGGATCACAAGGCTGGGGGTTGGGGTGAGATAGGAATTTGGGGATACAGAAAAGGAAAGACAGACCATCCCAAAAGAGAAGTACCCCCAGAGCTATTGGGATGCAGGAAACACCCATGCATTTTTTCAATGCAAAACAAGCATTGTGAACAACCCAGCCTGTCCTTAACCTGCACTGGGGCCCTCACCCTTGATCCTTGCCCTTGCCTGCAAAAGTTACCCAGGGGCCATGACCAAGTGCAGAGAAAACTGGCCTAGAATTGTGTACCCTGGCCCTGGCCTCACCTCTAGTGCATCTTGTGGCCCCTGTACCTCCACATTAACACTCACTTCCAGGGGTTGCTGTCTCTCCCTCTGGAGATGGCCTGCATTCTCCCTTGAATGTATATTTCTTACTTTACCCCAAAAGACATCTCCCTTGATACAGCCCACATCTTCCCTGGAATGTATAACTTCTTTCCTAAAAAAGGAAGGGCGCACCATCATTTTTTCACTGTAGGGTCTCTCAGATCTCAGATTTCGTTGGATTTATCCCATAAATTTGATATGTTTAATTCTACAGAATGATATCTGTATGTAGGTTGTTGATACAGTTAAAAGTTTTATGCTGGTTTTCATGTTCAGCAAGTTTGCTACATGCTCTGAGTCCCTGTGTGAAACTGGCAGGAATCGCTCTTTCTATAGGTAGCAGGTAGAAGTCCCTTTCCCTTCCTTCATTGTCCTTTCCGTTTCTTACCTTGCAAAGCTAAGACACTTCAAATTTTGTTGAGGTTTTTGTTCTGTTTTATTTGGTACCAGAGACTGAACTCAGGGGCACCCAACCTCTGATCCACATCTCCAGTCTTTTTTTTTTTTTTTTTTTAGCCTCACTAAGTTGCTGAGGCTGGCTTTTAACTTGTAATCCTCTTGCCGAAGTCTCCCAAGCTCCTGGGATTACAGGCACGAGCCACTGCACCCAGTTGGTGATATTTTTATTTGGAGGCAAAATTGAGATGACAATGTTCTTCCACTTCCCTTAGTAGTATGTAAACTGACTGTGTCTTATAACCAACAGCATCACAGTTATTAAAACGTGTTTTTGTCCTGCCAGGTTTGGAGCCCAGAGCCTGCTCGTGCAGGGCAAGTACTCTATCACTGAGCCACATCCACAGCCCTGTTACTACTAATTTTTAAGAGTTGTTGCAAAAGAGATGTTAAAATATTGCTTATAAATAAATTAATTCACTGAAATCAGTTAAGAGTTCAGTGGAGATAATTCTCCTCAAAAGCATGAATCAAGTTCTCAACACTGTCAATTTGGGAGTCTTGGAAAACATCAGGGCATATCCCCACTCACTCAGACATCCACTGCACCCCCTCAGTGCTGGCAGAAGCCCAGCAGCTGATGTCAGCAGAAGGTGTGGCCCAGGTCCCTTCCAGTGACTCACGTTGATTGCTGATGGATTCAGGACCAGTTTGCACCCAAACCATATCAAGCACGTGGTGGTGACAGCGAATGTGGAAACAAACAGTATCTGAAAGTTGGGAATCTGGAAGACAAGGCAGCTCATCAGCTAGAACCCTGAGCACATGAGGGGAAGCACTGGGGGTAGGCCCACCTCAGGGGCAACCTTGCTGTGGCCCCACCTACCCCTGGGCAGCCCTGTGGGCAGCGCTGTGGCTGACCTACCTCCTACCACCACCCTGCCCTGTGGGGGCTGCCCGGAAGGACTTACCGCACTGACATTTCTCCTTGAAACAGCGAAGCTCACAATGGCTGAGGGGATGCACTGCAAAGAAAGCAGAGCTGGTGAGCACCCTGCTGGCCATGGCTTTAATCCCAGCCCTGCAGTGACAGCATTGCCTGATGGGATAATCCTAGCCATGTTGGCAAACAAGTGTTGGGAGTCACTTGATACAGGGGACCCTCGACACTGACAGCCCCAGTTACTTCAAAACAATTCATCCTGAAAAAGGGTTTCTAGCCAGGCACACTTGGATCCCAAATATAATTTAGTATCATTGCACAAGACCAGAATGGTCTCACCTGGAGAACTACACAGAAGGAAAAAGCCTTGGTGGGGAGGAGGCACAAGAGTTCTCTGGTGTCCAGGGTCCCACAGCCCAGGAGTGCTCATCCAGGCCACACACTCTAACTGCACTATGGTCCCAAGGCTGGGAGTGGGCCAGCTAATAAGGGGACCAAATCCTGGGGGGAGCTGTGGATAGAGCCTCTGAGAAGCAGAGAGGATGTGTCTGCAGACAGTGGGGATGCGAGCAGGAGGAGCCCATATGGGGCCTGAGCTGAGGATCCAGGGGGACAGGTTGGCTGGTGTCCTAGGGGCCAAGCTCTGGTAGCCAAGACAGGCCACCAGAGGCAGAGCTCTCTCCCAGACAACTATGAGGGGGAAGGGACACTGCCTAATGTGGAGCCGACCTGGAGCACTCTGGGTCTCAGGTGGAGGTCACCGCCCCCGACAAGGGCAGCTCCTATGGTGAGGACCTGAGGCCAAGAAGGTGGTTCCAGAGAGAAGGAGGGAAAGGTATCACCTTCTGCTAAGAAGGTCTGTCCTAAGGGCCCAAGGGAGATGCTGGGCGTGGGGTGTGGGGAAGCTCATGTGTTGTCTTTTAGGGCATGTGGCCACTGATGGGGTGGGGCAGAAGAACTAGCTGGAGGCTGGAAAGGGACAGACTCCCAGGACCTTCTTCCTGTACAGGCCTGTCACCAGCTGGAACCCCAAGGAGAACCCAGACCCTGGTGGCTTTCCCTACTGACACACAAGACCTCAGTGGACAGTATGGTCTATGACTGAGCTGGCCAGCAGGGGATGGCCGGAACCACAGGCCCTGGAGGTCTGCAGTTGTCTCTCCTCCCCTCCTGTGAGGACCACTGCCTCCTCCCCAGCCAGCCTGGGCACTAAGTGAAACTCCATAAACAGAGCACCAAGCTTTGGTCCCCCAAAGACAGATTCCCCCACCGGCTCACTGTCAGCTGGAGCCTATGCAACTACAGGTAGGAATCAAAAGTGCTATTTCTTGTACCAAGTCTCGGGAATGAGATTCAGACCTACTTCACTGGAGCTTTAGAAGTAGTAAACCCTATTTGAAATTAAAGTCATACAAGAGATCGTTGAATGAGAAACAAGTGGCAGGAACCCAAAATCAGGGCAGGGACTAGGGCACCGGCAGGCATGGCTGGAGCGCTGCTTACAGAGCCCGCTGCACACCGTAAGTAATCCATCTCAGAGGGGAACACGTTGCCCAGGTAGAGGGAGAATCCCGAGGTCACAAGAAGGCAGCTCTGCAAAATAGCAACACAAACTCAGGTCACAACATGGCTCTGTCTGCAAATTACACATGCAAGGAGTGAGTGGCCTGACATTGCAGCATCTTAGAGCCTGCATCTGGCCCTGCCTGACCAGGGCCCTCTCCAGGGACAAACGAGTCCTATGCCTAAGACCAGAACAGGGACCTCTGTGCTGTTATTTAGTGGAGAGGACAGGGGCTGTGTCAAAATCAAAGGCAAGAAGTGGTACCTCTCCCCAGGGAAGCCCTAGCTCCACCTGGTGTGACCACCTGACACAGGTCCACTCAGAACCGGGACACAGTGCCTGCCCCATCGCTCTGCAGAAGCAAACCCTATCAAACATCTAGAACTGACTGCTGGAGTCAGACTCTATAGCCCAAGGTCCGGGCTAAACCTGGAGTTGTGAAGAGGCTGCTGAGGGCCAGGTGTGGTTGTGGCCATCCACGGAGGTTGCTGCAGGTTGGCCAGAAGAGCCTGGGCAGGAGAGAGGTTGCAGCCAAGATGCTGGTTCTCAGTCCAGAGCCACAGGGAACTGGGTCCTGCCATGGAATGGTGTGTCCAGGGGCCTGTCCCTCAGCTATGAGGACCACACCACTCCTTCAGGTCTCCAGTTGTCTGCCATCTATGTAGGAACATCCCAGGAAAGACACTCCAACATTTGATGCAGCCCTGCCTGGGGCCAGCTCAGACCCGAGACCCCCTCCCACCCTTGTAGCCCCAGCCTCAGGGACCCACAGTAGTAAGGAGGCCACCTTGAGCTAGTGTTGACCGTGGGCTCAGTACAGTCCTCTGGCGGGACAGCCGCAGACCTGTGTGGTAGGTACCAATTGAAGAAAACAATTCAGAGGACACAAGCATGATAAACGCATCAGTATCCAAGAGGCTCTCCAGGATTCACCTGGTGGCTGCTCCTGCCCATCTCTAGCCTGGGAACAAGCAACACCTCCGCGGGGGGCCTCGGGCCACTGTCTTCACTGAAGGGATGTGCTTGTGGACCTCACCCCAGGGCCGTTGTCAGGCTACTCACCCCCATCAACACGGAGAAGACCCAGGTCTTGTAGCTGAAGCACGAAGGCAGCCTCTTAGACAGCTGAAGGTCGCCAGGCTTTGCATCAGGGGTGTAGCTGCCCTGGTCCTGCCGGCCTGGGTCCTGCCGTCCCCGCTCCAGTGTGGGCATTCGGTCGTAGCCCAGCTCCTCCCTGAACTGCCCCTCCCGTGTCATGGCACTGGGGACAGGCATGCTGCGAGTGGTGACATGCGGCTGTGCTGAGACTCACAGTTACAGGCCACCATTCACTGGTTTGTAACAAAATTATCAACTTTGACCCCTGAGAAATCTTCAATTGTAATAAGCTGTTTTCAAGAAATTATTTTTCTTAACAAAGAAATATTGTGCACACAGAAATGCTATGAATTTAAAAAATAAATACTTATTTCTATAAGTGAACAAATCACTTTCCCAGTAAGACAGACCTAAGCAACATGGATTCGGGGTAAGACTTGAGGCTTCACTTGCTTTGGCAACCTGGGTCCTCAAGCGCACCCCACTTCCACTCAAGTGAGCAACTTCCTACACACCTCACGCTGCCCTGGGGTCTCACTGCTACTAGGCTCAAGGTGGTGACTGCCCAGGAGACAGCCCAAGACTCACTTGTTCTGCAGCTTATGTCTGTGTGCTTACCTCCGCTGCTGTCCGGCCGTTGGGAGAGCTCGTCTTGGGGTGAGGGGCTTCCAGCAAGAACTATTCACTCATGGACAAAAGCCCAGCAAAACTGCACTTGAGCCAAGGGAAGGAGCACTGCCTCCTGAATTTCAATGAGATGGAGTAGATCCTAGAAACATCGCTGCTTGGTTGTGTAACCATGGCTCAGAGCTGTCCTAACCCAGCAGGAGAGAAAGGGCCTCCCGACTCCTGCTCATCACAGACTCGCCAGGTGGGCATCTCCGAGGAAGAAGCATAGCTGAGAGCAGAGTCCACCATGTGCAGGATCCCGGCCAGCCTGTGCCTGGAGCATAGCTCTATTCAAAGGGTGTACTACATTCTCCTGCAGCCCTTTTCTGTCCTCTGTGATCACATGATGGAATCTCCTTCACAAGGTCACACAGACCTTTCTGTTGAGGACTGGCTGGACTGGCCCTTGCTGTGGTCCAGGTTCCGCCCACTGGTTCCTGTGGCAGTCCCTAGGGCTGGCATGGTGTCGCTGCACCCTTTATTTCTGCTCACCAAGCAGAGAAAAAGGACATGAATGTATTTCATCCAGAGACACTGGCCCCTGGCAGTTTCTTTGTGAAAACTGCAAAAAGTACTAAAGTACTTTGAAAAAATGGCTCCTTAAAACACAAACCCACATCAAACCTGGACACTGTCATCAAGTTTCAGATCACGGGGGGTTTGCTTGTATCAGCTTCTCAACCAAGCAAGGACTAGGGATGACTCACAGAAACTAGCACCTGTGAAGTCAAGAACTTATTTTGAGTGGGTTGAGAAACTTTCCAAACTTTTAATTTTAAGGCAATTAACAGTTATAGGAATTGGTCCAACTGGATTGAACCCTGTGTTTCTTTTTGTTTGAAGAAAAATGCGGAGCCAATTTCACCCTTTGGAATCTTTCAAAAGCTGCTCCCTACCAAGAAACAAACAGTGGCCTTGACTCAGAAGTTGCAAAGCACACCCCAAGGCCCCCAACGCACAGAATAGAAGTGCATCCTCCTGGCTGGAACAAGTCCTGTGCTCCTGCATGTTCTTCCAACCATTCTGTCTCAGAGCCCTTCCTCCCTCTGCCCACTGAGCCCTCCTCTGCCCTGACATTTACACAGCCTTCAGCAAATATCTGAGTGAACACCGCAGGCCACGGTCCTCCACACAAAGGTTCCTGCATGGACAGGAACACGTGTACACCATAAATCATGTCAGCCGCATGGCATCTGACCTTCTGTCTCCAGGAAGAGAAACAGGAGGGGGACAGGCCTCAGTGAGAAGACATGAGAGCCATGGCATGCTGAAGCAAGGAGGACAGACAGAAGGGCTGGTGGCACGGCAGGTGCAAAGGCCCCAGGTGGCCTGGGCAAGGCTGGAAGAAGTGGGCACATTATCCTGGGATGCAAGGGTGTCCAGGTACAAGATGCCTGTGGGTGTGCAGACCACTTGCCTTTGACTCGGAGATAGACCTGCTGGAGGGGTCTGCTGGAGAGCAGGTGAGGAAATAGGACAGGTGCTGCCTGGCACCAAGGTGGCAGCACTGGGAGTGGAGAGAAGAGAGCCATTCAGGAGAGACCTGAAAGAGCCAATACTATGTGCTGTCAGTGGCGTGGGCTGTGCTCAGCCAGCCAGGGGGACGCAGGCTCAGAGCTAGGGTCTTGCTTTTCATTTTGGCAAACCTGTGGGTGTCTCAAGTAGATGGAGCTAGGGATAGTCCTGCCTGGCAGTAACTTCCACCACAAACCACCCCTATTGGGAAGCTGGACCCGTGAACCCAGCCCCCATGTCAAATGCCCTGGTCTCTAGGGTGTCTCTTCCTACCAACCCAATACATCCCTGGGATCCTTCTCATTCACCTGTGAACTCCCAGGATGAGTCCCAAGTGGAGGCATGGCCCAACTCCACAAGTGTATAAGGAAGGGGTCACTCCCTCCCAGCCCTCAGGAAGGAGGTTGTCAATCAGACTGTGAGGTCTGGTCTGGTAAACTACGGATGTCCTGATCAGAACTAAGTGGAACCCTTGGCCAACACAGCAGAACACACATTGCTTACAGCAGTATGTGGGACATTCTGGCAAGAAAACCATTTGTAAGAGAAAGAAAGCCTCAATAAATTTCAAAGACTGAAACATCCAGGTTTTATTCTCTGACCATGACCAAATTAAACTGGAAATCAGGAAAGTTCTCAGGAAAGTCTCCAAATTTTTATAAATTAATCAATCTACGTTAAAAAAAATTAACAAAACAAAAGCCCCTGTGGTCAAAGTAGAGATCACAAAGGAAATTGGAAACTCACTGAAAATGGAAGTCAAATTTTGTAGGATACAGATAAATCAGAGTTCAAAGAGAAACTATCAAATTTTAAATGCTTACATTGTCTAGAAAAGAAAGTTCCCAAATCAATTAGATAACTCTCCACCGGAAGAAGCTAATAAAAACATAAATTAAACCAAAAAGGTAGGTGAGAAATAATCAAAAAATAACTGAAATAGTAAAGACATACACAATAAAGATCAATGAAACTTGGAGGTGTTTTTAAAAAGAACAAAATGGACAACTCAAGCCGGTCGAAGGAACCAGAAGGCGGACTTGAACAGCGTCTGCGCCTGCGTCGGGAACCAGGCGCTCTGCGCTGCAGACGGCGCCCCACAAGAGAACAGCACGCACCACTCGAGGCCAGCAATTTGTCAGGTGGGAGGAAACGGACAGGATCCTTAAAGGGCAGAATGGGCAAACCGGGACAACCTACAGCCACGCGGAAGACGGGTTTGTCATTAAGGCCGTCCCACGGGGAGGCCGCAGGCCGATGGCTTCACCAGCGCTGGCTGCCACGCGCAGGTTTGCGTCCCGCCAGCCCTACAGCCTCCACAGGAGGAAGGGGAGAGGGCCGGCCAAGAGGAGGCC